TAACTGAACAATTTTTAAGATTTAGCTGTTTATAGTTAAAGTAGGGGCTTAGTTTGTGTAAAGGCATAAAGCAAGGGGACACTGCCTTCCACCCACAAGGATACAAGATTTGGCATTTAGAGATGCTGTGCTCTGTCATCTAGAACGATGCCTGGCACATTAGCAGACTGGTGATAATTTTTGAATCAATGAATGAAGAACTACATAATCCAAAGAGCAAAGAAATCATTTTTTTTTACTTAGCTGGATTTTATTTATGTTAATGATGTTATTGTAACTATTATGTGTGCAAAGGTGGTCTGCAAATACAGCCTGCAGTCCAGAACCTGTCTACTCTCTTACATAACTTGTTAACTGTTCCTTTCACATGTCTTAAACATGCCTCATCATCTAAAGTGCAAGTAATTCCTTGAGAGCAGGGGCACTGCTTTCTACCTCTTGATTCCAAGCACACTGACTACCAAGTACACATTCTTGCAAGGCAGAGAACAGCATACGTTTTTGTAAAGGGCCAATCAGTAAATATATTAGGTGTTGAGGGCCATGCAATCTCTGTTGTAACTCCTCAACTCTGCCACTGCAGCATGGAAGCAGACATAGGCAATACCAACTAAATGGGTCTGGCTGTTTTCCAGAAAAACCTGATTTTTAAAAAACAGATGGTGGCTGGATTTGGCCCATGGGCCACATTTTTCAATCCTTGCTCTAGAGTCCCAGACCAGAAGGAAACAATAATTTTGGGAACACTGAAGAGAAGCTCGAGGCTGGACTCTTGATGTGTCCGACTCTCAGTTCCTTCACCTGTAAAAAGCCCTTCTATCTTTGAAATCAAGTCCAAATAAGGAATTTCAATACACACTGAAAACATGACTCACAGATGACTACAGTCACACCTCTCCACCTACAGGTGCTTGTGACCAATATACTTTTTGGCTTTGAAACACACTGGTGGGACACAGGCCAGTAAAACTTTGGTAGGTAAAGTTTTAGAAGATTGACAGATGTTTTCTGCTGGGCTCCTTGCTCCTAAATAACCCATTCCTAAAGATACCAGGCAGGAAGCAAGCACAGAAAGAAGCAACTTTCTCACTGTTCCATACACCGTTGGCTGCTGGATTCAAAAACGACTCCAGAGATCTTGTCTCCATCTCATGCTAAATTCTCTCCTGTAAACACTAGCCATTCAAACCTGGTAAACTCTTAATGACCATCCTCCTTAACCTATGCGAAGTGACAGCTTTAAAAATCAGCTACATGTTATATTTAATAGATGTCATTTGTGATTTGTATTTAAACCGTCAACCACCTACTAAATTTCCTTTCTTATTTTAGTTTTTCCATATGGTAAATACCTAACAGACAACTTGGTGTGTATCTTAATTGTATGACGGGATTTCAGCAATATTAGATAATGAAAAGTAAGAATTCATGAAAAATTTTGTGTGTGTATATACATAGAGAGAGAGAGAGAGAGAGAGAGAGAGAGAGAGAGACATGGCATCACTCTGTTGCCTAGGCTGTAGTACACTGGCACAATCTCGGCTCATTATAACCTTCACCTCCCAGGTTCAAATGATTCCCCCACCTCAGCCTCCTCAGTAGCTGGGACTATAGACACACGCCACCATGCCTAATTTTTGGATTTTTTGGTAGAGATGGGGTTTCACTGTGTTGGCCAGGCTGGTCTTGAACTCCTGAGCTCAGGTGATCTGCCAGTCTTGGCATTCCAAAGTGCTGGGATTACAGGCATGAGCCTCGGTGCCCAGACTGAAAAATGACAGATTTTTAAACGACCTCCATAGCCCTCAACTTGTGGATGTACATTTCTACCTGGAATAGAAAAAAGACACTGAGCCTTATCTTGCTTTGCTCCTGGTAAGTCTTCTTGATCTGGAATGACTGCTTGTGCACATTCTAAGCATTCATCCACACCCAGCTAAAAGCCAATCTTCCACGTAGTGCTCCCTAACATCCCTCCTCTGACCTCCTGCAGTACGTAACAGGAGCTCTTCTAAGACACGTGTCACGTGCTTCGCTTTTATAGTTAACTGTGCTCATCTCCTTCATGATAAAGACCGTGTCTTGTACCTCTCTGAGGCTGCCCCCACCCCTTCAAGAATGCAGAAGAGTGCCTTATACCCAGAAGGTGTCCACATGCATAAATCCGAGGGCACCTGAACAAATCCCATCTGAATGGTAAGAAGTTAGCTTTGTTTTGTGATCCACATTCACGAACACTGTTTCCATCTATACCCTCCAGCTACAGCACTCATAGTGTGACATTCAGCAGCACCTTCATTTCTTTCTGTGCTGTGCTCATTTAAAAAGCTTTAAGGAACTAAGTTGTCTCATCTAGCAGCTGCTTTATAGAGATTTAAAGGCCTTTTATGGCTGTTCAGTAATGACTGAACTTTTACATTGTACATAGGAATCGCCCAGTGAATTTCACCTCCAATAAATAGAATCAATTTTACAAGGATCTGAGGAGTCCAGAAAGACATCAGAAGTACACACAGCGTTATCCTAAAAGAAACAACGGTGCCTAAAACTCTTGTGTTTTCTCTTGGGAGGGTTACAGAATCAAGACTGTCAGTTGATTCTGGAAGAAACTTCAGAGACCATCCAGTCCTACCTTCTTTGCAGAAAAGTAATGCCTTTTAGCGAAATGAGTTAGATTTGGATTTGGTTAGTTAAAATATACACTGGGAGAATATGCCATTATAGCATTAATAGTGTTTTCAGACACCGTCATACTGAAGGAGTTAATGCATTCCTCCAGAAGATCTAGGCCCCTGGTTATTTTACATGAATATTCTGACTTCCCAGAGCCATCAAGAAAAGCACATATTGCCCATTTCCGTGTGCCCCTGGGAGCGGGCATCCACAGACATCCAGGCTCTTCAGCTGGTGGGTACAGTATTCCACTGATCTTCCTAACTGATGCATCCATCATCAAACACTGATGTTATGGAACGAGATGAAAAAAATAAATACTAGTGTAGGCTGGGTGCAGTGGCTCATGCCTATAATCCTAGCAATTTGGTAGGCCGATGCAGGCAGATCACGTAAGGTCAGCAGTTCAAAACCAGCCTGGCCAACATGATGAAACCCCATCTCTACTAAAAATACAAAAAAAAATTAGCCAGGCGTGGTGGCGCGCACCTGAAATCCCAGCTACTTGGGAGGCTGAGGCATGAGAATCACTTGAACTTAGAAGGCAGAGGTTGCAATAAGCCAAGATTGCATCACTGTACTCCAGCCTGAGTGACAGGGTGAGACTCTGTCTCAAAAAAAAAAAAAAAAGTATAATTTTAAGAGACTAATATTTTGATATTTACGAACCTACTAAACTAGGGAAAAATAGCTCCTCAAGTCTAAACCATTTTTCTTTCTTGACTCATGGGTTTATGGTAGATTCCCAAAAAGTGGTGAAGGCAGTGTCACCTGGGAGGCAGACATGAGAGGGCGTGAGAAGAAAGCCAGGCCCACGAGGGCAGCACTACGGACAGCAGCCAAGGGGCAGCAAGGGTTGTCCTGCACACCTTGGTCACTGGGCCCCATCTGACCTTGGCAAAGGCCTTTGCCTCTCTGGGACTCGGTTTCCTTTGTGGCTTCCCCTATGCAAATGACCCTTCCACATAAGATGAATACTGTAGTTATAAGCTACCTCAAAGAGCAGTCCTGGGAATTATAAACAAGCAAAAGGTGTCTGCAAAATGTCAAGTACTGCTGTACCCACCACACAAGAGACAAGAGGGTATATAGATAAGAAGGGTATTGCCTGGAAAGCGCAAGATGGGTCATTTACAGAATTCACAGCAATACACTGACCTCATCCTACTTCTCTAATTATCTGGGGAAATTCACATGTTTTGCCTAAGATCTTTGCTTCTTTATCTACTATTCTTTTTTCCCCAGTTTTTTTTTTTCATTTTCTGATTAAAACAATCTAATGTATGGGTATAAAAGCAGAGAGATCAATAATATTAACCCCCGTGCATCCATCACCCAGACACATAACCACCTGCTACTGCTGGCTAGCCTTGTTTAATGTAGACCCCACTCACACCCCACCTCCTAACTCTGATCATTTTGAATTGAATCTCAAATGTATATCTTTTCATGTTTCATAGTTTTTAAAACATATACATCATATTTATTTGCCATTCTATTTTCTTGATTCAACATCCCTGATGTAAATTATTTATAACAATGAAATTGAGGCGATACTGGTGGTGCACTTGGGGCCAGAGAAAAATCTAGCAACGAATGATTTAAATAAAAAAGGACAATACCTCAAGGCAGAGGTAAAGTAGGTTTGCAGGAGTGCCTGCTGTACGTTGCCATGCGCATGGCAGCACCAATTATGAGCATCCTAGGAAATTCACAATGTGTAGATATATTCCCCACTGGTTTCCACTGATTTCTTCCCTTAGGTAAGCAAATTTGGGGTTCTTATCATAAATGAAAGAGAATCTGGGAGTGGTTTCCTCTGTCCAAATGGCCCCTCAACACCTGCCTCCAATTCCATCATCCTATTTTCCTCTCCTACACCCTCCCCCAAGGTGAAGGCTGCATGAAGTTACTGCTTACAGGATGGAATTACAGGCCTGAATCTGAGACAAAGCTTCTTTATGCTGTGTCTGGTCATTAATTAGCTGCTGGAAACTTCAGGACGGGGCCATTAGCATGCTCATAAACCTTTTATTTTAAATGTTTTCGCTTAGCCTTGATTCTGATGTGCCTCTCCTTGTAAGCTGGACGTAGGACATTTGTTTCTTAACATTTCAGAGGCTCATTAACTACTCCATCCCGGTGGCTCATTAACCAAGCCATTAGGGATTTCACGTCATCCAGGCAGAAGCCTCCACTTGCCCTCACAGAGCCTTGGAGGGCGCCTAATTGGGAATGGTGTGAGGCTGGTTGCAAGGATCACAGAGGAGAGTGGGGCTTTGTCAGGTCTCCACTATGCTGGAGCAGCGAGAGGGGAGCTCACTCACCTGCTATTCTCCCAATGGGCATGGCGTGCTCTTCAGGCGGGGAGACAGAGACCATGATGTGGTTCATGTAAGCCAGGTCTTCCCGATGGGAGAGGTTGATAGGCTTCCCTTCCCTATGCAGCCCGTCCTCGGAGAGCCTGGACTGTTTGAAATCCACGGAGTGCCGGGGGTTCAGGATCAGAGGGTGCATGATGGGGCTGGGCATCAGCTGGATCACGCGTGTGCTCTCCTGCCGGGGGCTGGATGGCTTCGGGTGGGACTCGGAGGACGCTGGGCAGTGATTATTCTCCATGGGAGACACTGACAGGGGGTAGGACTCCTGGTGGTTGTTCTCCTGGTGCAGCCTGGGTCCCTGTGCCCTCTCAGCTGGGGAGAGGCGGCGGATCATGTTGTCCAGGGGGGACCGGAGGGGCCGCTGCTCAGGGTCAGGAGAAGGCCGGTGATTTGTGGTGATGGGTGACCTGGAGCGGTGCAACAGTTCAATGGTGGGAGGGTTGTGGTGCACATTCTCCACGGAGGGCCTGGGGGTCCTCTGGACACAGGTATCTGTGGAGCAGACGGAAAGACAATCACAGACCCCAGTGAATTGGCAGGACAGGAACCTCCCTGTGGCTCTACAGGCGGTAAGTGGAGAAGCGTGTAGGTGTATGGAAAGAATCTTTCTCCCCAGAATTCAGTGTCTTTTTCACTGCTTAACAAACAATTTAAAGTGAGCATATTGCAACTATTCTTGTATTGCCAGACAACCTAAGGATGTTTACAAGCATTCTGTAATCACCTGCCCATGGCCTATAAGCACAAGCAAAACCTCCATTCCCCCTCTTTTGGTCATCATTAGTCTCTTCCATGTAGCTTTCAGAGGTAGAAGGGTTCTTAGGGGTTTCTCTCTAGATGCTTTTATTGACTTATATTTTCATAACTAAAATTTTCATATTCTCTACCTCCAGGAGTTATTTCTATCAGTGAAAATGTTAATAATATTAGTAATGATTATTAGTAATAACTGTATCTTAGATACTGGATTTCACTGTCTAAAACTTATAGCCCTCTTGGATTAATGTGGTGGCTCCCGCCTGTAATCCTAGTTACTCGGGAGGCTGAGGCATGAGAATCACTTGAACCTGGGAGGTGGAGGCTGCAGTGAACCAAGATCAAGCACTGCACTCCAGCCTGGGTGACAGAGCAAAACTTTGTCTCAAAGAAAGAGAAAAAAAACCCCAAACTTACAGCACTCCTAAGCAGGAGATACTACGATTACCCCTCTTCTATAGATGATCAAACTGAGGCATACAGAAGCTAAGCAACTTACCCAGGGCCACACAGCCAGTTAGGGAATTAGAATCAGACTCCCGTCAGATTCTAGAACCTGTGTACTTATGACAACACCTATCACTGCAACACAGAAACTAGGAAACAAGGTCACAAGAAAACCTGCTCTAAGCATGCACAGTGGCCCCAATTTACAGAATGACAATCTTACTGAACTTCAAAGAACTTTTGGGAGCACTTTGCTCCTGAGTGCATAGACCCTACAAATGCTCAGAGATGGGCAGAGGTAAGGAAGAAGCAGGATGGATGGACGCCTCTAACAATATCCCTAACCCATCCCACTTGAACTTGCAAGCTGGTGATAATGTGAGCAAGGACAACATCAGAAGTGGACACGGCTCAGCAGCAGCAGTAGCTCTGAGGGCTGGATCAGGGAATGGACCAGCACCCACGTGGCTCCGGAAGCCCCTGCTAAGGTACAGAAGGACAGAAATCTGCCCATAAGAGTGGAGATTTCTACATAGCTCCAGACCCAACTCAACGAACTCTCTTTGGCCACATCTGTTCCCAGGGCAGTCTCACCAAAAGGATGTGCATGCTTGCTTGTCCTTGTTCTGGTCAAAGAATTGTCCACAGTTCTACATAAAGCAAGCCAAACATATCACCTTTGTCCCTTAAGATAATATATATGTGTGTGTGTGTGTGTGTGTGTGTGTGTGTGTGTGTGTGTGTGTATATATATATATAAAATCTATATATATTCTATATATATACATATATATATAAAACACATAAAGGAAATTCGAGAATGTGACAGGGTCAGTAAACAGAGACAGACATGGCGGTTTTAAGTTATACAGGGTTAAGAAGAAAATGAGGAAACATTGAACAAAAATACTGTTCATAATATTAAAAGATCATCTCCTTGAAGGCAGAGGTCTTATTTTGTGACTGCTGTATAACCCACTGCCATAGATTCAAAGGTACTTAATCACTGGAATAGCTATCAACAGGAGGCTGATTCAATAAATTATAGTCTATCTCTAAATAATGGAGTACTATGTAACTGTAAAAAGGAATGGGGAGCATCTCAGTATTTTGCTAAGGACTAGCATCCAGAATCTATGGATAGATGAGAAAAGATAGATGAAGTATTTATGATCTGCCACCACTTATCGAAACAAGGAGGGGGGAGTTCCAGTTTCAATAATGGCAGAGTGGCTTGTACCAAAGTAACCTTCCTACAGATAGAAATGAAAGAAACTGTATTAAATATATAGAAAAAAAAACTATTTGAAGGTACCAAAGGCAGACAAAAACTGAAGGGGATTTCACTCTTGAAAGAAGGGACCCGCACAGAGTGAGGTCCGTATTTAAACAGCTTTCCCCCCAGTTCTGCTGATCTCCTAACTGTCCTATGCTGCATGCTCCTCCCCAGTCTGCACAGCACAGGGCAGTTAGAAAAGAAACAGAAAGTTGCTTGAGAGGTCAGAAGATACTAGCTGCCAGAATGGCAGAAAATTGAAGAAACAAATCCATACAGTGGGAGCCTTAGAGATGAGAGTGATTAAATTGGCATGTAAAAGTTTCCTTAAATTCTTGTCTGACTGCTGAATAGCCCAAGTGCTGGGGAGACCCTCTGGAGTTCAGTGAAAAGCAACAGTTGTATCATCAAAAGATAGAAGTAGAAATCTCAGCTATTGGCTACTGCAGTGGAGACAGGGTGCAGAATATCTCATCAAGTTTGAAGGCTCTGTAAACACTTCAGGCTGTTTGTTACCCCAGAATGGCCATAGCTTAGAAGAAAAAACCCAGGACAAGAGGATCTAGCTACGGGCAAAAGGCAAAACAGAAACAGATTGGACTGAATGAAACGTAAGACCACACCTCTACAAATTCAGAGTAAGTGGCCAGTAATTTGACTGCCTGCTAGAACAAAATTCAGTACTTTCAGAGGAACAGAACACAACCCAGTGTCTCAATAATGCATGCTCAGCATCCAGTCACAATTTTCTAGATGTGGGAAGAAACACAAACATGTAACTCATAATAAGGAGGAAAGGCCATCAACAGAAACAGAACTTGAGATAACGTAGATGCTGGAATTAGCTGTTGTGATATTTTGTTTGTTTTTGCTATTATAAATAAGTTCAAGCCCTAAAATGATGGTTGTAATAAATAGACACATAGAGCCTGTCAAAAGAGAAATGGAATTTAAAAAAAAAAAGAGACAAAACAAAGAGTCTATAACTGAAAAGTGTAATATCTGAAATGAAAGACTGGACTAGATGGACTTAATAGCAGATGGGAGATGAGAGAAGAAAGGGTTAGAAAATTTGAAGACAGATCAGTCAAAATGAAATCCTAACAAAACAAATCCTCCTGTGGCACAGTATCACATGGTCTAATACACATGTAATTGGCGTCTAAGGAGAATATAGAAAAAACCAGGGTAAAATCAATTAGGAAATAATGGCTAGATGGTCCCCAAATTTGCTAACAACATCATCATCAACAGCAGTAAATTCAAAGATCCAAGAATCTCAAGTAATATAAGTAAAATAAAAACCATGCCCAGGTACACCAGAGTCAAAACTACTGAAAACCAAAAATAAAGAGGAAATCTTGAAAGCAACCAGAGGGAAAAACGATACTATGTACAGGGGGAGATACTAATATACTATACATGCATAGTATGATATATAGTACATACTAATATAGCATATATTGATATATACTACATATAAGTATATACTAATATATATTATATATACTCATAGATATATAATATTGTATATACTAATATACTAATTATGGCTGACCTCTTTTAAAACAACCTGAAGAGAGGAACTGCTCAAACAGACACACAAGAAGGATACAAATGGGAACCCACAGACTGAAAAAGACTAATCACTTGCAATATATAGATGTTTGCATTCTGATGAAACTATAAAGAACATTTACAAGATGGTTGGCAAAAAGTGAACACTCGTAGATTATACAATGATGCTGAGGAACTACCAGTTTTCAAGTGATAGGACGGCTCTGTGATTACGATTTTACAGTCTTTTTTTGAAAAGGGAAATTATATATCTGGGATGTGCTATAAAATAATCTGGGATGGTGAAGGAGAGAGGAGGTAGACCACAGAGGAAAGCAAGACTGGCCTTGAGCTGATCATCAAAACTGGTGATGGGTACACGGTGGTTCATTATACAATTCTTTTTACTTTTGTATAGGTTTGATATTTCTTGTCATAAAAAGTTTTTTAAGTGCTTAATCAACCTTGCAAGGATACAGGTTGGAATGACAAGCACTAACGTCCTCACTTTAACCCAAACGCACATAAATGCCTACAGGGCACCAACTAGGATGATCTGTAATCTTTTGGAGACAAGGCAAACTTTCCTTTTACAGCTAATAGGGATCTCAATTCTGCTGGCCATAGAAACGTATTTATCTTTTGTCTATAAGGTTCACTTTTCATTTGTCACAGAATGTGATCACCGTAAACAACCATTCAAGAGCGTTGCAATTTGAACTTTCCTATACTTCTTCCACATGCCATTTACAGAATGTCTTTCTTTTTTTTTTTTTTTTTTTTTTTTAGCATTTTGGTTATTTTTAGTTAAAGAAAAACAGCCTTCTCCAAGGGCAACAAAATGAACTGAAGGTCAGAAGGAAGCTGGGTACGGGCTTCTCGAAAGTTCTTGCTCCAAAACCTGGAAGTCAGGCGAGAGGGCCCTCCCGGAGCTGTGGGGAAGGCCGGCACAGCACAGGGGTTCCTTGGTTGGGGAGGAAGAGCCGCCAGCCCACACATGGTCACTGGATTGGTCTGAGTGGGCTCCAAGGTGACTGTCACGTGCCAGTCTGCTAACGTGATCCACATTAACATTCTTGGGGTCATTAAATTAAGGAGTGACACAGGGAGTCAGGAGAGTGGCCTATTCGGTTGGATTCTGAATCACAATCAGGAAATAGTCTTTATCTGGCGCAACCATAATCTCATTTTTCTTGGGAGCGAATTCGAAGGAAGGTGAGATTGTTCTGGGGGTCGATTTCACGCACGGTGCTCCGTGCCTTCAGGATGAAGCTGTGCATGAGGCTGGCATACTGGGTGGTGGTGGGGTTGTCCATGGTGCTCTTGATGGGAATGCCTTCTGTGTTCACCACGATGATTCCCTGCACTCCCTTCTGGCTCTGAAGTCGCTTCAGTGTCTCCTCCACCTCTGCCATTTCCGACGGATCCGGTAGCCCCCAGAATGTCTCTCTTCACT